CTCTTGGTTTTGAGTAGAATCGGCGTTAATTGTATCCACTTTCATGATTCTTACATATACGTTGCTGTTGATGAATGCCTGATTCCTTTCTATCAGAAAAAAATAAAACACGTGGATGCATAGTTTTCACTTGATCCGACGCTTGAAATTCATCAAGAAAAGAAAAGCATAAATTTCTTTTATTTTCTTTGATGGCCAATTAAAAATACTGCATGTATATGGCTCTCATAATTTTCTGAAAAACATCCAAGACAACGTGAGCACGTCTGTCTCAAATAAAACGATAGAAATGAGCAGAAATGCTTTTATTACGAACATTCGTCGAACAAGACATGTTGTATAAAGAAAAATTTCAATAATGTTCTTTTCTACGATTGAAATGAAACGAAGAGAAATTGAAGAACAATCATACAACGGCTCTACAATTATATAAATTTCAACACATAAATGTTATTTATACCGTGTGTATGTATATCAATTAGAGTACTTTTTAGAACACACTGATTATTTAGGAAATAAATGTAACCGTAGCATAGAGAAAGCAATGACAATGATTTGATATATTAAAAGAATGATCACCTATTATTTGTGCAGAAACCTACTATTCAGAATATCAAAGAAGACTTGCAATAAGATAGCGTGCACCATTCAGAGACTAGTGTCACTCTTTCACCCTCGAATTTGTTTTCAATTGAAATGTGTTTATAAATCTATGAAGAATATCGTATTGAACTTATTCTTCATTTTATAGATACATTGATAGTGGATTGTATCTATTACATACAGGACCGTAATTCGGTCTCTAAGGCAGGCGCGGGGGGGGGAGGTGTAGGCCCTTAATATCTCAAAATCTCGAAGCAATGAGGACATAACGTCTTCGTTCGTATGGATTCTGCACTAAAATACCCCTAAAAAGGCAGTTTTTTCCATTTTTTTGACCAAAAAAAACAAATTTTCAAAAGCAGGGGTGGCGTCGTGCCCCACCCTATTTACGCCGCTGATTACATACATTTTTACATAAAATTATGTTAATATTCTATATATTTTTAGAATCGAATTCAAAATTCTCAATTGAAAATGCGAATGTTATATTATTCTAATGTACAAGGTGTTCTGAAATATTTTCTCTCGATAGTGATGGATTCTTTTCAATACACATAAGTTATTTACTAGATTTCTAATAATTTAATTATTACTTTATACTTTTACCTATTTTTTAGATAAAACCGGTGCAATCATCTACATCAGATAACAAAAAATAGATGAAATTTCATAGATGACAATTCATTTTTTATTTGTAACTATTTTTCATCAACTTTGTTTTTTATATGATTTCTTTTTCACTTGTACCTGTAATCTAAATGGATTTCATAGTTTTTACAATAAAACGCCGACTGTAAAAAAATGATGCGCAAATTACCAAATCTTGATATATCTTCACATAGACTAAATTTATTCTCAATGCTGATAATAATATTGTCACTCAGGACTTACAAATAAATTATATACAAAGCTTAATTAGCTTGAATTTAGAACGTTGCATTCTAAATTTGTCATAAAACTCAGAAAAATCTTGTATACTATTGAAATGTAATGAACTAAAAAGTGTAGAAGTTCATTTTGAATTCTAACGCAACTAACCTATAACCAGTGGCGGTGGAGCCATTAGGCTTGGGGAGGCTTATATTTTGGAAAAAACTCACAAATCTTATCATGAGCTTATATTTAGTATGCGAAAGTTCTTTGAACAATAATACGTTCAGTCTGATGCTAGATAGCACAATAAGCGGCAAACCAGTTGCGCTTAAGAAAGCTCAAGTCTCACCTAAAAATCAAAAGCAACACCTGAGAGAGACCCGATAGTTGAAAAAATTTTAGGAATGTCATTCCGAATTTGAGAATGAATGTCACAAAATGTTATCAACATAGCTTATATTGCATGTATCTTCACATGAACAAATGCTAAAATCTTGAATTTTTTTCAAAAAATACGTTGCCGGTGGTGTCCAAAATAACTATCAAAAACTCCTGCTAGCTTACTATATGAAATAATACCTATTTTGCATCTAACATGCGGTGCAAAAGCAATGGAAAAAATGTTGAAGTCTATGAGACCATATTGCCGACTATTAGATCAATAAATTTTTTTTTTATTGAAAAGAGAAATGTCTGAACTATAACTTTTGTACCGCATATATTTTTTCAGAATGTCTCTGAGAAGGAGAAAAAGCCAAAAAACTGGATGTCTCTCAAACAGTACTTGCAACTCCATCTCTTAGCAGCATCATTTTTTATTTTCTTTGAATATTTATTACATCGGAAGAGGATATACAAATCACGTTTAATAATGATTTTTGTAGCAAAAAGAATGCTCTTTTCAGTGGTATATTGCATGTCAAATTTATCTTTGGTTTTCATATCAAAGTATTGATTTTTCTGAAAGATACTGCATGATTTGCTCGTGCTCACTATCTGACCGTTCTGCAAAGGTAAAAAAAATGGTTTTTTGAATTATTTTTTTCTACTAAGTTTTCATGATCTCACATTTTTCACACAAATAACGCAAAAAGAATTGAACGTATGTGTGATTTCTATAGATGATGGTTGATATTCTTGCAAACTGATAATTCTTGTAAACGACTTTATTTTACAAAAATTTCATTTTTCAAACCTTTCTAATTAAAGAGTCAATATGGGCATAAAATAATTTACCTAAAGTGCTATTGATAGTGTTTTTAATGCACTCCATTTTGATGTATTTTAGATTAAAACTTGATCTATGTAGCTCAAAATAATCAAGTAATACCGATTTTTCAAATTACAAAAACGTTGCAAACACTTTTATAGCGATGTCCAGTTTTTGGCTTTTCCTCCTTCTCAGAGACGTTCTGAAGAAATATGCGCGGTACAAAAGTTGCAGTTCAGACATTGCTCCTTCCAACAAAAAAAAATTTATTGATCTAGAAGTTGATAATATGGTCTAACAGACTTCGACATTTTTTCCATTTCTTCTGCACCGCATGTTATTTTCGTCAGAAAATGATTAAAATATGAATCTCTTCTAAAGATGTGTGATTACACTTTCCACAATATTCATAGAAAAAGGTTTTTCTGGTTTATTGTAATCAATTTGGAGAGAAGGGAAAAAGTAATACTGTACGGCGCTGTGTAATTTTTCACGATAACAGTAAACTGAACGCTACAAAAAAGCCTAATTCTTATCAAAATCAAGTTTAATGTATTAAAACACACTACGGAATGCAATGATAATACCAAAATTATGTTTCTTGTTTGAAGATCGCCTTAAAGAATTAAAATTGAACAGTTAGGCAATTAGTTGTGTAAATAGTGAAGCAAATTTATTTCAGAAAAGTAAAAAATATAGTATCTTGCACGAATTTGCTTTTAGTTCTGCCAAAACCAATTAAGACAATTCAAGAGAACATTTTGCTTCTTTAAAAACAGATTCAAGTTTTCAGGGTTTTTATGTGAGCAAATAAGTATGACAAATATTTTTATTACTTTCAGTATGATATGACATAGCAATGTTTTATATATCCTATCTTTAACTATTCTAAGAACTCATTACAACAGGTCGACAAGATATTGTGATGCATTGGTGTAGAGAATTCAACAACAGCTTCTCTGATTCATTTTTTCGAAACTTTTCTGTAAGTTCCTGTACTTATGTACTACTTTCATCGTCAACTGAGCGAAATTGAGGCAAACAAGGGCATCTGATCGAAGATGAAAGTAGTCAAGACTTCAGATGAAGAACAGCTGACGATGAAAGCTTTTTCTTCCAAATCATGGTTTTTTTAATAGAGTTATATTATGTTCTATGCTATGAAGCAGAGAAATTTTGTGATTAAAATGAATCCTGTAAATACCAAAGAAATAGATCACGAAAAATTCTCAACTTCCATAGAACATCTTTCCAAAACATTCCAAGATTATATCAGTCACCTATAGAAGGATATATGCAAAATAAACTCTGTTGAAAAAACATCGAGATGTCCGATATCTCTTTGATAAGAGTTAGAGTTGAAAAACCAGAAAATACCCCCTCCTCGTGCATCACCTTCCTATCACCGCCTGAGACGTTTTGAGCCTCTCCTAGATTAGAATCGTTCCGCCGCCTATGCCTATAACTCACTTATAGCGACAGCTGTCAGTAATATCTTATGATATATATACACATATTGGTATAACGCGGACGCCAGACTACAGTTTGGCTAGCGTCAATTTTGGTTCACTTCCTATGACCTATCATTATTTATTACATTTTTGCCACAATTTTTTTCTAACTCTATGCTTTTCGACCACTTTTCATTGATTGCAGATTGTCACCCAATGGGATTAATAAAGAAGCAATTTTGAACTTCTTGATCGATTTTCTTCACTTTTCCATTTTCATTTATTTCTAGTACACGAAACTAAAAATAAATTAAACAATAATGTTCAATACATCTTTATATTATCGTTCGATATCTCGATTAATTCTTATGAAACGTTTTTTTCCTCTCAAACCTGATGGTGATGTCGGTGCTCAAATAAAATCATTCAATGCCAAAAAACAGTTTAAAAAAACATTGGAATTATTTGATAAACACAAAGAAAATGACGTTGAAAACTTATCCAGTTTCATAATTACTCAAGCTTTAAAAGCATGTGCAGAAGTGCATGATCTGCAACGTGGATTGATTATTCATCGTCTTATTTCCACTCGCATAACAACTGATTGTTACCTATCAGCATCATTAATTCATCTATACAGTAATTTTCAAAACTAATTATTTTCTTCTATCTTCTTTTGCTTAAAGTGCAATGTGGTGACGTTGTCCGTGCTCAATCGGTCTTTGACATGTCGAAAAACAAAACAGTGGTCACGTTTGGGGCCATGATGAAAGGTAATAATTATTATATTAATAACTGTGTTTTTACTAAGCAGTTCTCTAAAGGTTACATAAACAACAACACGCCAAAAAAAGCGATTGATCTTTTCCATAAAATTCAAGCTCCTGATCAAGTTATTATAATACTCTTGTTTAATGCATGTGCTAAATTAGAATCTAGTGAAGCATTAAATTTAGCAAAAAAAATTTCAAAAGAAATTCCAAAATCTTTTTTTTCAAATCCACGTCTTTCAACATCTTTATTAGATGCATTAATGAAATGTGGTGATGTGAACAGTGCCGAATCATTATTCGATAATTCTAAGGAGAAATCATTACCAACATATGCAGTAATGATGAAAGGTAGGAATTATAATATTTATAAATGATTTGTTTTGCATGTTTATTCATAGGTTATATAAAAAACAATATGGCAATAAAAGCCATTGATATTTTCAATAAAATCCAAGCTCCTGATGAAGTTATTATAATACTCTTATTTAATGCATGTGCTCAATTAGAAACTCCTGATGCATTAAATTTAGCAAAAAAAGTTTCAAAAGAAATTCCAAAATCTTTTTTTTCAAATCGAAATCTTTCAACATCTTTATTGGATGCATTAATGAAATGTGGTGATGTGAAATATGCTCAAACATTATTCGATGCATTAACAGTGAAAGTATCATCAATGTATGCAGCAATGATGAACGGATTTAATAAAGAAAATAAACCTTCGGAAGTATTGAATTTATTTAATCGAATGAAAGTGGATGGTATTGGATCAGATATTGTTATTTATCTTTGTGTTATAAAAGCATTGTCACATCTTGGTGATTACTCATTAATTGAAGTGATAGTTAAACAAATTCCTAATTCTTATCTTGCTGATAATCACATTCAGACTGCATTGATTGATATGTGGGTAAGTCGAAATAATTATGCTTCTGCTACTTTTTGTTTTGCTTAAATAAAATCAAGGCAGGGAAAAATAGGATGTTGTGATGAAGCAGAAAAAATATTTGAAAAAATTCGCCAACCAAATGAAATCGAATATTCAACAATGAGTTTGTTTTAGTAGTTTTTCTTTGAAGAAAACTTTATCGTTGATTTTTTGATAAATAGTTAATGCTTATGGTTTGAATGGAAGGGGTACTCAAGCAATTGAACTTTATCATCAGATGCCACACGAATTTATAAATGAAGTGACTTATATTTGTGTCTTAAATGCATGTTCACATTCAGGACTTGTTAATGAAGCTCGTTTAATCTTCAAAAATATTGAAATTAAAACAGAAAGAATTTACAGCACTATGGTATATTAGAAGAAATTTTTTTTTTCAACTTGAAATAATTTTCTATTCATGTGTTAATTTAGGTCGATTGTCTTTCTCGTGCATTCTATTTTGAAGAAGCAGAAGAATTAATTGATGAATATGAATGTCATCATTCACCTGTATCAGCTATGTATAGTTAGTATTTTTTTAATCAATTGGTCGTTATTACAATTATGAGTGGGATATTTTCGATTAATTTTGAATTGAGAAAAACATTCAGATTAATCTTTAAACTATTTTTCTTTCGAATTTTTTAGAACTCTTTTTTTATTTTCTCTATATGCGAAGACTATATTCCATTTTGTCGATAATTTAAAAATTGATGAAAATCAACGAAGATTTAGATCAATATCGAGATTTCTATTATGCTTAGAAGACCTCCTTTGATAAATCAACCAAAAAAAACATAATAGAAAACTCCTTCCAATCCACAAGCATCAGATATTTGGGTTTTTAAATTAATTTCTGAATCTTATTGACTTTATTAAGTATTCAATTTGATGATGATATCTAAGTTCAGTATTGACAATATTTTGTTTTTCGTCAGGTTGAAGTGCCAGTTTCGAGTTACAAAAATCTTGACGAACAGTTAGTAGAAAACAATTGTCGATTAAATAATTTAAAAAAAAAATTATTTCGATAAATAATGATATTTAATTAAATTACTTTTTTATTTAAGTGGCATTATTATCAAGTGCTCGAAATATTAAAAATAGTTGTTTGTCACAAAAAGTTTATCATCGGATGAAGAAGATTTTTCCTGATTTGAAAAATGAATTAACATCAGCTACTGTTCTTCTTGCCAATGTTTATGCTTCGTCAGGTGAAATTGATAAATCATCAGATATCAGAATCGAGTTAAACAAATCAGGTTCTAAGAAGAAAATCGGTATCTCATCGACTGTAGTCAATGGATGGTCTTACGTAAGTTCACAATTATAGTATTTGTCTTCTATATTATTCATATTAAATTGTTTTCATAGGATTTTCGAGCTCATGAACGATCTCACCCTCGAACAGCTGATATATATGCAGAAGTCGAGAAAATGTCAAAAGAACTTATTGCACATGGACATCAATATGATGCAAGCTGGATCACACGACCGTTGGATTCGGATGAAACCGTTGAAACAGCCCTTTGTGGACATAGTGAAAAGTTGGCCATTGCATGGCATTTTATTGACAATCGAGAACCATCACGAATTTTCGTGAAGAAAAATCTTCGTGTTTGTGGTGATTGTCGTATGTAATCATTTATAATTTATTTTTGTATTCTTTTATTTTATTTTCACTTAGATCGTGCCACAAAATTAATAGCAGCCATTCGTCAATGTACAATAATCGTTCGTGATGCAAATCGTATTCATCACTTCCATACGAATGGTCAATGCTCATGCAACGATTATTTTTAAAAGAACATTTCATTCATATTTTCTATGTTTGTTGTTGTTCTTTTAAGTAAACATTAAAAAAAATATTGTTTTTTTTTTCTTGATTAATATGAAAAACAAAATAAAATATGAATAACTTACTTGCTAATTGAACAAGATATATCATATAAAATATTTTGAATTCAAAAACATATCAGTAGATTTCATTTCCCTTTCATTATGAAAACTCAATCTGAAAATTAGCATTCTTCGCACGTCTTCGAAAATTTTTGCCAGACATTTGATACTTAATAGTATACTTTTTTTTCTGCACTACAAGTACATTTACTTTTACTTTCGAGGAAAACTTAAGCATTGATACTTAGTAGAACTGTACTTGAATGCCATTACTAATCAACTGTCTCAATTTTCTAGTGATGATTATTAATGTAAATGTTATTTTAATCAACGTTTCTGTAAAATTTTTCAATTTATCCCAACTAAGTACAGTAAAACCTCTCTAATCTGAACACCTTCGGAACCATTAGAAAACGTTCATAATAAGGAGTTGTTCATAAAGGAGAGATCTGTTTCCAGCAAAAATCGATTTTTAGTACCGGCTAGAAGCGTTCATAATAGTAAGGTGTTCAGTAAGGACGGGTGTTCACAAATAAAGGTTTTACTGTATGTGACAACTGCAGCTTTAGCGAAGTAGGATTCTTCACCAACTCAACTCTCTGAAGTTTTATCGATTTTTTTTTGGAGTATGAGGATGCTAGAAGCGTTCTCAAACATCATAGTAGAATCGATAGGAATGTTGATGGCATCCTTAGGAATGCTAGAAGCATTCCAGTAGTATCCTTCAGTGTACGTCTTGCATCGTCAAGAATGTTGCTAGTATCCTCAAGCATGGGATGTCAATGGTTATATATGCTTATATGGCTCTTCTACTTCATTAACATCCACATGCCAACCACATCGACAAGCACATCTTTACCCAAGTAGATATGTACTTAGTACTGCTACTAATTAAACATATGCTTGAGTAAATTGTATGAGGTAAATGTTGCAAGTACAACTTTTAAGTAAAAAGTTTACATACTTGTACTTGTAGAGTCACTGACTTTTACAATTGCAAAGTTCTTTATCTTTTCTCTATACTTTATTTATGCATCGGTTTTGCTTTTATATATCTTCTCTAAATACGCTTCTTTGGTCATTCATGAACCATTTATGTCAAAATGGCAAGTGGAAGAATTATTTTTTTTTTTTGCTATCGAGTCAATATTCGCTCATACCGACATGAGTTATTGTTAACTTTTCTCTTCATTTAGCAGTTAAATAAAACGATCACTGCGGAAATTGCATACGACGCTTATTTTACCATTACAATACTTTTATGAAATATGTTTGTTAATAAGAGCTCAAGTGTATGGCAAGAAAATTCGACTCATTTCACGTATCTTGTCCAATAGATCGCAACAAGCATACCATTATTCTTTTAGTATATTATATAACTATGGCAGAGAATTCAGTATGTTTCTTACGCTCTCTAACAGTCTAGCAAATATTTTAAGATATTGGTTTCTGTTTCCATGATTGATGTGTTATACAGATGATGAGATATCCCAAAATTCTCAAATCAGTTCCATCATGTTTAATATTCGAATGTGTAAGATCTGCGTTGAAGTTTTTTTCGCCATTAAATATTATTTATTTCCGTCAGCTTTTTCTCTTTTTGTATCTATTCTGTCATAACGACTGATATACTCGATATGGTTTCGCGTGTATGAATTATTGAAAATCTAAGATAGTTTGGAAAAGTATCATTTATTCAGGATGCTAGAGATTGAAAAGTTAAAAGAATATCGTTTTACGTTGATAACAAAAAAAAAAGAAAAATGTTATATTCGATTAAATTCAATGTAAAATATTTAAAAAAATGAAAATATTAGTAAGAATGATATTAATATGATCGATTGTATTTATTGACACTCAAAAATAGTTCGACTTATACTTATTTCTTTGTTATCGTTTTTTTTTGAAGTCATATAGAATCATAACTTGAAAATATTGTATTAATAAGTGTTATAATATCATTTTTTATACAAATTTTTTAATAAGTGGTTTTTTATGCATAGATGAAATGCTTGGTCACAACAAACACATCAGAAGAATTCATTTGAATTACAAGTATTATCAATTGATTGAATTATTATTGAGAATAATAAAAACGAAAATATTAATCAAAATCTACGAAAAAACAAATACATAAGCACTAAATGTTCTACGAATTGCATAATACTATACCTTCTGTTGACCTCTAATAATAAAACACATTAAGTAGATTAAAAAAAAAAGGTACAAAACTATTAGAATTCGAAAACTTTACTATTGTCATAAGTAGAGATGCATGGAACTGAGGCTATAAGAAAAAAAAGAATTGTCGCAACCGGAACTAATGATTATAATAAAATATTGTACGATTTCATTCAATTTGTCTTATAAATCATGAATCAAAATATAAATCAAGAGGTAAGAGACATAATAAATATTTTTTGTATAACACAAATCCTATTGTTTTGAATTGGTCATGATAAATTAAACTTTTCATTTTTTTGTTTGTAGTTGCCAATAGTTCCACTGACAGGTAAATCGTATCAAAAAATAAATCCTTTGTTTCATATTGTGACATGTTTCTTTTTTTTTGTTTTATTCATTTGAAAATATTTTTGACTCCTCGTTTAACAACTGATTAATCTATTTCATCACTGAAAGTTTTTTTTTACATTAAAGACCTGAACAAATCAATTAAAGATCTTCAATCAGGTGACTCTATGTTATCTTGAATCATAAGTTAATCTTGTGTGAAAACGAGGAAGAATATTTTAAAGCCTATATATACACAAAAAAACACAAACAACTTATCAGTATAGATCTTATCTGACTAAAAAAAATGTATAACTCTCATGTGTTCTTTGGCTTTATTATACAAAATACGTCTAGTGAAAATCTCTAACAGACTAGAGTTGTTTTCCAAGGACACTTGATCTCTAGAGAAAATATCTCATTGATGAACAGAATATTTTTACTGATTTTGTCTATTGTCTTTATCGTGTTGTTTTTTATTAAGCATATTCACACGTATTCATATTGATTATTTTTTTGAATATAAATTTTGATCTGCTTCAAGATTTTCAACTTAGGTTTAATATTCTTCTAGATCAATATAAGCTTTTTATTCATATAGATTGAAGTCTATTGTCCTTGGTTGCTATGAAGAAATAATATGAGTTCCATCAAATTTATTTTTAATCTATACCAACTCAATTATTTCGAATAGATTCAACCAATGTACAATGGATAAATACATCATCTAGGAATTCCATCACATTTATAAATCATAAATTGGCTGAAATATTATCTTTTAGTTCTTGACTCTTTAATCTAAACAATATGACTTTCTCTTTTAACAAATTTATTTAAAATGTCTTAATCGATGTCAAACAAAAGTTAATACACACATACAAACTCAAAATCATACTTCACTTTTATTGTAGACAAAATTAGAATTCCAATTATGACCGGGTAGAATTAGGGATGACGCTTTACTTTTACTTTACTAGTAACTAGGTAACTACTTTAGTTAATATTTACAAGTAACTACTGTTATTGCTATTTACTGCGAAATAAGTAAACATAAAGTTTATTTATTTGTTTCAGCTTTATCGATCCTTGTAGTATTAGCAAGATAACTAGCAAGGTAAGTGTCGTTCGAATCCATTAACGTATCTCAATCGAATGTAAAAAATGAGAAAATTAAAGTTCATTGTGGTTTCTAATGTAAGATCTTTGGAAAGGGAAACATTCAATTGATTATTTCGATTAAGGTCCCTCTCCCTCAAAAATCGATCTCAAACTAGGAACATCCAAACTGCATGAAACTTTCCGCCCTATATCCTAATATTTGACAGAGATATTCACTAAACAAGGGTCAAAACTAGTTCATTTAGTCTCCAAGAATTCGCTGTGAGTCTTCATTTTATATATTTAAATTTTTTTTTTATTTGAAAGATCATGATTAGGACTAGCGATCTTCGTCCCCCTTTTTTTTAAATTCTTACTTTTTAAGCGAAGAAAAAGTGTCACAAGTTCAATTACTAAAAAAACTCCTAAAAAATGGCGCTGTTTTTATAGACCTGTTTTCTTATATGATAATAAAAAAGTTTATTTTAAAAAAAGGCCGACGAGAGTCGCTAGTCGTAAATACGAGTTTTCAAATAAAAGAAAAAGTTATTAGCTATAATGAAGTTCCTTCGAGAATTCTTGGAGATACGATCAAAAACCTACCAAACGAGAAAAACTGAAAAAGTTTTTTGGTTTTTCTTAAAAACAGCTTATTTTTTGAATAGGAGATGACGAAAATCTTCAAAAATTTTTGGAAAAAAAAGAAGTGTCGAGTAAAAATTTTTCTCATTTATGAGAGAATCTTCCTCTGCATTTATCTTAATTTCGGTCATTCTGACGAAAAGTGACTTTCTTTAGGGAAACCTTGAGAGGATGTGTTTGTAACTAAACTATAGATGATTGTTTCGATGACTTGTATTATCAACGATTACGGTTGAATAATCATTTTTTAACAATTAATATAGTTTGCGATGAACTTCAAAAAAGAACACAGATTACCAAATAGAAATGAATGAAAAAAACTATGTCCAATGAAA